GACCAAGTATTGTTCTTATTGATCGAATTGATCTTTGTATTCATGGCTTTGACCCACTCTGGTTCTTTCTTCGCCTCTTCAACCGATACCGGCTCGTCATTGGTTGCTAGGAGAAGTTCTTCAATGTCATCAACATAAAGTACATAATCTCGTAATCGAATTGGAAGCACCTTTGTCTTGTGGGCCTTTGGTTTTGAACATTGTTTACGTTGTTGTTGACCGGACTTGGTTGCTCATTTTCTTGTACCTCCACTCCGTCTTCAATCTCGTGATCCGATTCGTTTGGTTCAATTGGTTCGTTGTTTACATCGTTTCCTTGGTTGTTGTTCGCCTTATCTTCCGGTAAATCCCATGGTACTATGAATGATCCTGGTTCTTCATTGTCAGGTGTAGCTTCGTTAACCCAATTCCATCCTTTGGTTTCATTAAAAATAACGTCTCGACTTACGATTATTTTTTGTGTAACCGGGTTAAATAACCGATAGGCTTTGTACCCGGTTCAGAACCAAGATGAACTAATGGTCTTGATCTTGCATCAATTTTTTCACGTTTACCGGTTCAACTTTTGCATACGCTAAACACCCAAAGATGCGTACGTTCTCCAAATTAGGTTTTCTTTTTACAACTTCTCGTACGGAGTTGTATCACCAAGTACTCTTGTGTAAACACGGTTGATCAGGTTTGTGGAATGTTTTACCGCTTCTCCCCATAGGTAGTTTGGAACATGCATCGCCTTCATGATACTTCGTGTCATGTCCATAAGTGTTCTGTTTCTTCGTTCCACAATACCGTTTTGTTGTGGTGAATATGGGGCGGTAAGATGGCGTTTGATTCCATTTATATCACAAAAGGAATTAAACTCGAGCGAAGTAAACTCACCTCCTCGATCACTTCGAAACACCTTTAAAGACTTTCCGAGCTCATTCTCCGCCAAAGCTTTAAATTTTTTGAAGTGTAAAAACGCCTCATTTTTCTCTTTTAAGAGAAAAATCCACATATACCGTGAAAAATCGTCAATTAGTGTGAAAATGTATCGATTTTGACCCTTCGTTGACGGTGTTATCGGACCACATAAATCACCGTGAACTAGCTCCAATGGTCGTGTTGCTTTGTACGTCGTCATTAATGGAAATGACTTTCTTGTTTGCTTGCCCACCAAGCAAGATTCACACAATTGATTCTCACTGTCAAAATAGGGTAACCCTTTGACTAGACCTTTCTTGGACATCTTTTTCATTGACTCGAAATTGATGTGTCCAAGTCTTGCATGCCAGCGCCACGTGTCTTCACTTAGTCTTGAATGAAGGCAAATAAGTACTCCAATGGGCAACTGTATTTTATAAAGGCGGTTTGGAGTTCTTTGTACCTTCATTAATAAGCAGTTGTCGGCATCATGCATTGTCAAATAGTTGTCTTTCATCCGAATATCGCACCCGGTTCGGTTGCTTGTCCGAGACTGAAAATATTATTTTTTCTTGTCCGAGACTGAAAATATTATTTTTCAAATCCGGAATGAAATAAATCTCCGTTATCAATCGTTGTTGCCCCGATTTTCCTTGGAAAACAATTGAGCCTTTCCCTTTTATTTCGACACACGAATTATCACCGAATTTGACCTTTCCGGTTATTCCTTCGTCGAGTTCGGAGAAAAATGAACGATTTCCCGTCATGTGATTACTTGCCCCGTTGTCCAAATACCACACATCGTTTTCTTGTGAGTTGTATCGAGACGGTATCACCTTCTCTTCGTTCAAAAATACGGACTCGTGTAGAAATACTGTTTCATCGGCATCGTCGTGTTCAGTAAAATTACTTTCTTGGAATTTTTGGCTTCGGTCCGGACATTTGGATGCGTAATGGCCCGATTTATCGCATCTGTAACAAATAATTTTTGACAGATCTTTTTTCGGGTTACGGTTCGAGTCCGAATTAGAATTGGGCCGGTTGTTGTATTGTTTGGGCTTATTATTGGGTTGGGTTAATTTTGACCCAGATCCGTTTGAAGACCCGGCTCCACCGGATCCACCTGACCCGGTTCGATTAAAACCCCCCGAACCCCTTTTCTTCCCTTATTCGACTCCTTTCTTCCCGATGATCCTCCAGAACCGCCACCACCTTCGTTTCTCCATCCACCACCACCACTCGTTGTAGCCATCAACACCCTTTGTTGCCCGTCTCCGCCTTCATCTGCTTTGATTCTTTCTTCATACGCTTTCAGACGCCCTACGACGTCATCGAAGGATACTGTCTTCAAGTCAAGCACTTGCTCGAGGGAGGCAATGATTTGAATGAACCGATGAGGTACCACCGTCAAGAGTTTCTTCACGAGTTTCGTTTCTCCGATGGGTTCTCCCAGTGACGCTGACTTCGAGGCGATTCCAGCGAGCTTTCCGGCGAAAGCGTCTATCGTCTCTGTCTCCTGCATCTTCAGTCGGTCTAGATCGGCGGTGAGAGTTTTGAAGTCGAGCCTCTTTTACTCTGTCGGCTCCAACATGTCGAGCCCTAATCGACTCCCAGAGGACCTTCGTTCATCGACGTCCCCTATCTGCATATCAAGCTCTCAGGGATTGCTTGATACAGCAATCCCATGGCAAGGTAATTCTTTTCATCATTCTTCTCTTCTCCTGGATCGATTATGGTCCAGGCTTTATGAATTCGAAGTACAACTTTCATACACAGGGACCATACAGTGTAATTTGTGGAATTCAACATCGGGCAAGCCACTGTGGTTGATCCTATCTCTTTGAGTTTCACCGGAGCCGGACCAGCATCACCACCATCTCCTTCTTTGTCTGACATCTTTACTGGTGTCCTTCTTGATCACCAGGTAATTCAAAGCTTTCACAGCTCCCCTTGACTGGTTTCGAAAGCTCTGATACCAATTCTAGTATAGAGATTGTAAAAAACACAGATAAATATATCAAAATATCTCTTTGATTTATAATTGGAAATATCACTCAAAAACCAATTGGTTTACAATGTGTTTTGTGTTGCTCTGCATATTCATAACTCGATATATGCTATATATATATATATATATATATATATATATATATATAAGCTGGAGTAAGCTTATAATATTAAACAAGTAAAGAGACCCAACCACTCTTTGATGATGTCCCCTACTTTGTTCCAGAAATTGTGTTAGCTTTTAGGAGTGGAAGACAGGAGTGGAGGGATTAAGGAATTAAGATTCCAACACACGTCACATATCGCATAAAGACATGTTGGTTAAAATGGAGGACGACCTCAAGAGTCTTGTGTGTGAGAGGAAGGTTACGTTGAAATTGAAGGGAAAATTTTACAAGGTGGCTATTAGGCATGCCATGATGTATGGATTAAATGTTGGTCATCCAAAAAAGTTCACGGGTGGAAGATGGAAGTAGCATAAATGAGGATGTTAAGGTGAACTTACGATCGAACTTTGTTGGGTATTATATCAATGCGGCTATAAAAAGAACTCCTTAGGAGTGGCACAGAACATCGAGAAATTGAGGGAATGAAGTTTGAGCCTTTGAGGTGGTATGGACATGCCATAAGGAGGCTATCATCATCAACAGTAAGGAGTGTAGAATCAAAGATGATTGATGATAAGAGCAAGAAAGGATGTCCTAGAATAATGTGAGACTTGATGTGGAAGAGTTTTCTCTTGCAAAAGACAGGCCTCAAATAGGGGCTTGTGGAAGCATAACATTAGGATTGACGGGTCGTCTCCTCCCTTTTATATCTTTGTTTTTTGGTTGTTATTGTCGATGCGTGTTTCTTGTGCATATGCTTGTATTATAATCATTCATTTATCTCTTGTTTCTCTTATGGGCTTACATATACTTGTTTGCCACTTTTTGCAGGTTATCAAGTCCATATGGTTCTTTATGTTGTACCTTTGTTATAGGATTATCGGTTTGCACATGTTGGAGGTCATCCATTGTGACGGAGTCACTCCTCCCATTATGGATGCATGACTCTTGACATTCTCCCCCTACCCCATTCTAATGGGATTCCAGGGGTTTATTGTTGTTGTTGTTTATACTTTTATGGAATCGAATACAATTTATTCCGATTAGTAATGAGTTCTAATTTATTGTTTATTCAATGTTACAATAAACTTCGAAGGATAAATGAAAAAATCGGAAAAAAAAAAAGTGATATCAACTTGGAGGGTCCAAACTTCGATCTTAAGGTGTTTTTGTAACTTTACTACTTACTAGTTACTTTATTATCATAATTGCTATTATTGTTGCAATGTTTCGTAAAAAAAACATTGTTAAAGTTACAAATCACTTTGCCTAATAAGATAACAACTTATGATGAAACTTTGGAGTTAGTTAGAGTTGTATATTGCTATCTTAATGTTTTCAACTATCTTATACAATATATTTATATCTTTTATATAAAAGATATGTTGAACAATATTGATATTGATATCATCATTCATTAGTGATTGGCATCTTAACACACTAGAAGAAGATTTTTTTTGCAAGTAGTTTTTATAACATGTGCTGTCTTTGGAGGCTTTTGCCTATTTTATAATATAGTATAGATAAAATGCATTTTCAATTACTATAAGTTCAAATTACCACCTACATAAGTTCAAATTCTATCTACTATATTATCTGACTTACTTTGGTAGTTTGGTTATACTCTTTCCCAAAATTTTATAAACGACTTTTGAAACTTCTCTAGTAATGGATAATGAGTATATGACATCTATTGTAATCAATATAAAATCTTAACAATACTAAATTTGATTCCAACAGATGAAATTTGTGTTATATTTAAGAGGAATTTGGATATCTAACTGATTGTTAACTACTTTGGTTAAATTTGTGTCCATTGTCCAACTCAAACATCAAATTAGTTCCAACACTAATTTAATAATAGTCACTAGTCAATATCAGAATGGCAATCCGTTTTCAATTACTTTGTTAATTTGATCAACAAAAAAAAAAAAAAAAAAAAAAAAAGAAAAACTTAAACTTGTAAAAAATAAATTAATAACATGGCACAAGTTAGTTGTCACTATCTACTTCAATCATATTACTTGAAATAAAACCTTTTTTGTACTACAAGATACAGATATTTTCAAGTGATGAAAGTCGAAAACCGTAAAATGTATTTGACAAAGGATGGATGATTTCATGTGATTTTGATAAGAAAAACCACCATGAAAAAGATACATGTCATTAGAAGCATCAAAAGGATGTTGAAGCATGTAGTCTTGGAAGCCTCCGAGTATATAGCCATTGCCTGTGTATTGGCTTTCCCTGTGCTTGCTAAGCTATGTTCCACTGCTTCCTCTGTCGAATCAAGAATCTGCACTCCAATTACACCAAACTTGTCAGTCAGTCACAGTCACAGTCACAGACAAAGTGATAAAGACAAACATACTTTTTCGGTGTTTTTTATGGATTGATTCATCATGAGAGTACTCTCTTTGAGTTGGCGTGCAAGGACAACCATTTCATCAGTCAAGTCTTCTTGAAGCTTCCTGTTTAGGTAGGTCCACACAATGAATTCCATTCCTTTTTTTTTTGGATCTTTATAACCGAAAATTACTTATTTACCAAATAACATCACTGACAGAATTATTAGCATTGATTAGGACAAAAAGTACCTGTGTTTTGAAATATGAGCCTGTGCTCCAGCATCCAATTTGATAGGAGCTGAATCAGTTGCATCAATAGTAGTATTTTGGCCTCTGTCTTCAACACTTGATGTGGGCCTGTTGAATCACGATGATAATATGAACTCATAAGAAAAACAAAATTCATGTTTCTTTTTTCCCATTAAGTCAAAAAGAAACAACATAAAAAGATAACATAGGCAAGACCTCTACTCACACAATTCTTCTTCTCAACCCTTGAGAAGTGCCAGTGGAGATACTTTCCGCTTCAGTTTTTGTTGTATTTTCACTGACAGAAGTGTCGGCAGTGGGCAGCTCTGGAGATTCTATGGTGTTCAACTAACAAATAGAAGGGGAAATCGCATGTTAGAATGTACATAAGTGAGAGATAATTGCTTCAAACTTTCTCCTAATAACTTGCTTCAACAGCATTCAACTGAAAAATGATGCTCTATCTAACATGAACATGCCCAAGATAAGGAATGGAAATATACGCACCACTTGAGAAGCCAAGTTAGCTGCAATAGCTTCAATTTTCTCAGAGTAATCACTCACTGTAGCTTTTGAAACTCTACAGGAACCAAAAGAAAATCATGATTTTATCAAGATGCCTCAATTACTGTTACAGAAATCCAGTCACATAAAAATTCCTACAGAGAAAAGTGGAAATCGGATTCAGACCTTGGTAATCCTTCTGAAGTTTTTTCTGCAGCGAAGTTGCTCCAACTGCTCTCTTAAAGTGCCAACATACTGCAAAATCAGCATGATCAAGCATCATTTACACAAAAGTTGAACTGATTGGTGGTGGGATTCAGATCTATATGAACCTGATTTACAACAATAACTATCAAATCCGAAGAAGATTCATATAAATGTAAGTGACAATTGGATAGGAAAAAAAAAACTAATTACCAATGTATAGATGACGTACATGAATAAGTTTGGCTTGATGTTGTTGCTGAGGGGCAGTTGCAAGCAATCGCCTCAAATTGATTTCAGTTTTACTCAATCCCATCGTCAAAAAAAACCCTAGAAAACATAATCAATTTCTCTCATTACGATCATGCGTAGAAATCGAAATGTTAGCGTATGACATAAAAAAAATTACACACACACAAAGGATATGACTGAAAGACTGAAAATGTTGAATCATAGATGAGGAAATTCATAAAAATTGGGATATATTTTGATCCACCCACCTATCGGGTTTGGATGTAATTGGTTGATGCTCAAGTGAAATCAGTATGCCGTGTGCTTCTTGATGTCAAATGGTAATCTGATCGGCAAAGACGATTATTGGTATTTAGGGGTAGAGAGGAGTGAGGACTGTGGAGGGGCCAGCAGACGGTGGCGCGGTGAGCTCTAGATCGAAACCAATGGTAAAAATGATTAAAATTGTGATCTATTTTTAGACAAAATTGCAAAAATAATCTATCGTTGTCAAAATTATGGAGTGTTGGTTCAAAAAGGTTTGATAATGAGCCATTGGTTCAATTTTGGATACCTTGTGCGGATTTGATACTTATGTCGTTAACAATTTGACTGTTAATTTTTTTTAAATGATTATTTTATCCTCAGGGACCATTTCTGTAATTGAGTTTTTTTACCAAACCATAGGGACCATTTTTGTATATATTATTTTTAACTTTATTGAAATATTATATATTAGTTTTTTTTAATTAATTTTTTTAGTTTCTTTTTATTAGATTAATTCTTTTTTATTGGATTATTATATATTAATAAATATTATTTTTAATATATAATATTTAATATATTAATAATATTATTTTATTGGAGTATTGATTTCTTTTAATTAATTCTTTTTTAATTTCTTTTTTATTGGATTAATTCTTTTTATTGGATTATTATATATTAATAAATATTATTTTTAATATTTTATATATATATATATATATATATATTAATGAATATTAGTTATTTTTTTTAATTTCTATTATATTGATTCTTTTTTTGTTGGACCGGGTTTGAGACATATTTTGGACAAAACCATAATTTTCGGACCAAGTGATAGTGGTGGTGTTGTCTAAAATATTTTATCGTCCGGAATGCCCATTCCGGACGAAGTGGTTATTTTTGCTAAGAAATTTGTTATTTTCTTCAAATACACATTAAAATGTTGTTAGATTAGTTAATTTCCCGTTTATTAATGTACAATAATTCAAATAAATATTAAAAAAATAATTATAAATATCAGTAGTCCGATAAAATAATATTCATTATTATATTAATATTATAACAATTCAAAAAAATATAATAAAAAAGTTTCAAAAAATAAATTAACTAAAAGAAATTAATCCAACAAAATTTCAAGAACAAGACCCAAAAACTCACATCCTCTAATTTATTTTAAATATATGAGAGATAACATATTTTGGACAACATCACCACTATCACTCGGTCCGAAAATGGTGATTTTGTCTAAAATATGTCTCAAAACTCAGTCCGACAAAAAAGAATTAATACAATAGAAATTAAAAAAATAACTAAAAGAAGTTAATAATCCCATAAAGTAACATTTATTAATATATATAAATATTTAATATTAAAAATAATATTTATTAATATATAATAATCCAATAAAAAAGAATTATCCAATAAAAAAGAAATTAAAAAAATTACTTAAAAGAAATCAATACTCCAATAAAATAATATTATTAGTATATTAAATATTATATATTAAAAATAATATTTATTAATATATAATGATCCAATAAAAAGAATTAATCCAATAAAAAGAAATTAAAAAAATTAATTAAAAAAAAACGAATATATAATACTTCAATAAAGTTAAAAAGAATATATGCAGAAATGGTCCCTATGGTTTGGTAAAAAAATTCAATTGCAGAAATGGTCTCTGAGGGTAAAATAGTCATTTTAAAAAAGTTAATACTCAACCTGTTAAAGTTAATGACACAGGGATCAAATCCGCACAAGGTATCTAAAATTGAACCACTGGTGCACCACCAAACCTTTTTTTTGACCAAAACCGCATAATTTTTGACAACCACAGGAACCATTTTTGCGAATTTGTCTCATTTTAAATGGTCTCTGTGGTTAGCTGAAAATTGCCACTTTGGTCCAAAAATGTTTCCTGTTGTTGTCAAAAATTATGCGGTTTTCCTTTAATAAAAAAACAATTCAAAGAACAAAAAATAAGCAAAATCGTCATTAAGAAAAAGATAGCCATACCATCGCAAAAAATGAAAAGTTTGGACCTCTGGTGCTAATCCATATCTTTTTGGACCAAAGTGGCAATTTTCAGCTAACCACAGAGACCATTTGTGCAGTTTTGTCAATTAATTATTTTTTGACTTTTTAAATATAGAGAAAAAAAATTAAAAATGCAAAAATGGTCAGGCGAAAATTAATATTTTAGTCCAAAACTTTGATTATGTTGCAAGTTTTGTCTAATTTATTTTGAATTTTTTTAAAATGATGAATATTCCCTTTAATTATGTATTTTAATTATGTTTTTATTTACTTTACTAATTTTATAATAATAAAAAAAAAAATACTCACCTACTCCTACTAACCCACCCAACCCCACCCGTTACCACACCAACTCCATCATTATCTCTCTTCTTCTCTCTCTCTATCTATCTATAATATATATATATATATTAATATCTAGATATATAGATATATATTATATCTTCTATCCTAATAAAACGGTACAAATATGCCAAGTCTCAATTGTTCAGCCCACCCTCCAACATTTTTCCCGCTCATTTCACAATAAGTTTATTTACTTAAATACCCTTATATGCTTTGAAATCAGATTTCCCTCTTATCTCAGTTGTTTATACGTGATCCTTAAATCTCGCTAATTTATAAGGCCTGCTCGTCAAATGCGTTCAATTTAAGGAAGCTGATTGTATTTCCAAATGAAATTAGGGTTACTTTTTCTGTTGTATATCAATCATTCATACTCCCTAAATCGTAGACGTGAAATTTGTATATCATTTTTTAAATCCCTCTCTCTTCTATTTCTCTCTTGCCTACACATATCTAGATCTTTTACTTGCGATGGAGGGACAGATACGAGTGAATAAAGATGTGGAATCAAGAACATCACATCGACGCTAATGAGGGTGGTGGTTTTAGGAGGGGTGGTGTTGTCGTTGGCGAAAACTATGCTGGCCAAAATTGTCAGGGTGCTTGGAAGTTCTAATTTACAGCTTCAATCTTCTTTATTCTCCAGTCGCATCAGATTTTATCCTAAACAACATTTATCAAATGTTAGTCTACTATTCTTAAGATCAAATCAATGAACGGTCTTCTTACACTGTGCTTCAAGGAGACATGTTTTCTTAAACGTGTTTCTTTCTCCTTTCTATATCTATATCAGAGCTTTTTCATTTTTTCTCTAAAGCCCCTCATGATTAACGACTCCCCTGCCACCTCCTCTTTTACCTCCATCGGAAACCCTAGGAACCCTTAAAATTATCTCCCCAATTACCCAATTTTGGAATACGTATCTTTAGAAACCTATCAGTGTTGCCGTAATTGATGGAGGGTTGAATGATATGGTGCCGAGCTTAATGAACTACACTGGAGTGCCAAGTTTCTCCTTAATTCTACTCATCTTATTCATTAGTTATAAATAACCTCATCCGATTATATTGACACTTGAATGCATATTCACACGAGCAAGCTCCATGAACTGATTTCTTTCATTGTATTTTATCATTATTTGCTCTCTACTCTTAGGTTTTAGTATATTTGAGAGCTTAGTTAAAAATATGTAGGAAGAACAAAACAGTTTCTGGTGTGTTTTAGTATTGAACCCAAACTCTTACATCCTAGGCACACAAGAGAAGGAAATATGTGTTACTGATCTCCTTATGTTTACTATTTTATATATACTGTGACGGAAGACGATCATACAAAGATACATGAAGTAATTTTTCTTGTGATCATTTGCTTCTGTAGAATTACAGTAATCTTATTCAATGATCATGAATATGAAGTTAACTCACATGGTTTTTTATTACCATTCATCTTCTTAGAAGAGCAACTGTATTGTAGCCTATGAAAATGAAGCTATAAGTTCCCTCATTCTCTCTGTTACAGTCAACACCATTTGGTGGTATTGTTTAAAATCTTCAAGATCAGGATGGTTTGGTTGAATATTCTTAAAATGACATGAATATAGATTTTATTTCGGTAATCAGATAGTGAATGGTTCTATGTTTTATGCAGAACTCTCCTTACAGGTAAGAATCTTTTGTATGCATTATTTAGTTTTATTAGTGTATGCTATTGAATTTATGCATCTTTAATGGTTATTTATGTTGTGTTCTTGTAGAAAACTGTAAATTACTATAGAGGTATATGGCATGCTTTATGTACAATCATCAGTAGGGAAGCGGGCATCTTTGGGCAGTTATAGAGGTAGCTATTAGATTTAAACATTGTTTTAAGACGATTGTATAGTTTACTTCAAACATCGGTGCATATTATAAACAATAGCTAAAAAGCTAAGTTGGCAAAAAAAGTTGTTTTTTTAACATTATGAATTTTGATATCTTGGAAAAAATGCATTAGATTTAAACATTGTTTTAAGACGATTGTAGTTTACTTCAAACATCGGTTCATGTTGCTTTTGGTACTAATTGTGAGCAATTTCCAAAGTACACTGCTATATGTAGAATGTCAAAAAAATGCATTGCTATAAATGATATACGTGTGGATATGTTCCTTTGATTGTACTTCCTTGAAGACAACAACCATTTGATTACGAATATTATGGAAAAAGAAACGTTATGCTATGTTTATGTTTGAGTTAAAATATTTCTTTCAAATGCAAAAAATGGCAATGTAAATTCATTTATTTTTTTAGTTATCCATCTTATTTTCATGTCTTCCTGTTGTAGCATTGTAATTTGAAACACCTACCAGTTGTAATGAAATATTAATATTATAATTTCGGTTTTAGATTTTTTTAGTTTTATATTTTCACTTTGATTTAATTTGTAAATTTCAAATTCATAAAAGGTGAAATAGCCAATAATACCGATGGAAGTGGATTAGCCATAGTTTATTATTGGCTGAATCTGTTTTGAAACTTTCAGAGTCTGCAAAATTATGGCAACAGAAGGGTTTATTAGAGAGACTGATAAAATGAATTATGAGTGTCTACAGAGGAAAAGACATGCCAACATGGAGGAAATGCTTTTAATTTTTGTATGAAAAATGTTGTACCAAAAGTGCAAATCATTATAAAAACTGACTGTTGGTAGTCTTTATCGGAAGACAAATATACATCCATTAATTGTGTTGATGACTCCCTATGGAAGAGGTAACCAGGCTAATTTCAAGACATCTGCTAATTTTGACCGGTTAGAAATATTGTTTTCAAGACATCTGTTGATTTCTAGCCGTTAAAAAAATGCATTTCTTATACAGGTATCATCCATTTCACCTAATTCCTTTAACAACCACATGATTTGTAATATTTATTTATTAGATAATCAATTTTTAGTTCTATTTAAAATTAACACTCGTGGATTCCACGGGTTTTAACCTAGTTATATAATATTATATATACATATATATAGTATATATATTATATCTATATATATTATATATATA